GGCGCAGTTGCTCTGCCCCGGGCTTCCTGGAATCAGTGGCTGATAAGTTTCAGCAGCAGCTGACTTGGTGTTCTTAAGTTCAATAGATTCAGCCGCTGTTGAAACTGATCAGTTTCAGCAGCGGCTGAATCTGGATGCCAGTTCCAACTTACATACAGATTCAACTTAAGAACAAACCTACAGTCCCTATCTTGTACGTAACCCAGGGACTGCCTGTAAATCCCAACCAAAGCCTCTGAACTACCAATTATAAAAGGCCAGATTCTGTCACTCTTTGAAAGAGGGATATAAATTAATGTTGAAACTGATCAGTTTCAGCAGCGGCTGAATCTGGATGCCAGTTCCAACTTACATACAGATTCAACTTAAGAACAAACCTACAGTCCCTATCTTGTACGTAACCCAGGGACTGCCTGTAAATCCCAACCAAAGCCTCTGAACTACCAATTATAAAAGGCCAGATTCTGTCACTCTTTGAAAGAGGGATATAAATTAAACAGATCAAAATTGCAAATGAAGCCAGGATTTGAATTTCCTGTGCTTCATTTGCATAATGGCAGTCGCACATTCTTTCAAAAAACCATCTAGATGCAGTTCTTTTGGAAAAAAAAAACTTTTTCGAAAGAACAGGTAAACCTCATTTTTTCAGGCAGTACGGTTCTTTCGAAAAAGGGGGGGCTTCAAAAGAACTTCTCTTAGACAGCGGTTTCATTTTCAAAATACCCGTTTTTGAACGAACACATGGCTGCCATTATGCAAAAGAAGCGTGGGAAATTCAAATCCCGGCTTCATTTGCAATTTCAATCTGTCTAATATACATCCCGCTTTCAAAAGAGGGATTTAGTTTAACATGCCCTTACAGATGGTAATAGCTTACTTCGCAAAATAGCCTGGTTGAAATCAGGGAAAATATCAGTGGGATAAGTATATCATATCCTGCCCCCAATTAACTGAATGTGTTGAGTAGGGTCTCTTTGGGGAGGAGAGTGTTTTCAAAGCAAATAAATCCACTTGGCTTCATTTTTAGATCATTTATTCTTTCAAACAAATGAATACCACTGAAGTTATACCATCCTGCGATCCCATCAGATATTACAAACTAGCAGAGCCAATCTAGAACAAAAATTAAGATTCACAAAGTCATAAAAATCTACCTTCTAAATATATTGCCCAAGTCTACTAATATGTACGTATAAAGCTGGAGCCTACCTGTAAGGGACACTGAATGGTAGGAGCTGGCAGTGACACTTTTCACCTTTACATCTTCTAGACCTAGGAAACATTAGTTCCATGGAATAAGTACAGGCAAGACACATCTCCATGCCCAGATCCCTTGTAGTACAGCTTAGAACTACATTACTTCAGAAATTGCACCGCAAGTGTTCTGTATTTTACATCAGAAGGTCGCAGCTTATGGATCACAGACCCCAAGGAAGTCAGCACTATTTGTCCAGGGGATTGCGAACTGGTATTCCCATTCCATACCACATATGTGTTGTAAATGTGTGTGCCAGTTCCTGAGGACATACTTAAAACATGGCACTGATGTTGCGTTTCTGTGATTAAGGGGAAACCTAGACCCCGAGCCCTGGCTATGCCAATTCACTCTAGAACACCAAGACCAGGTGTTACAGAGATACGTTGGACAATCTGTCTCCAAGCCACAGCATATCTGCAGAGTCACTCTATGGAAGTTATCATAGCCATTCACACCCCTGTAATGTGAGACAGGTGGGTCCAGGAAGTATCAAAGCCCCATTCCCAGCATATCACCTCCCCTATTCCAGCCTTTCCAGCCTGCCACAGTACACAATTCCCTTACATAAATATTCCTTCTGCACTTCTCCCCACTGTGAACACAGAGGAGGTGGTCTGGATTTGCTCTTTACCCAGCATCATTACTTCTATAATGCAACTGAATCATTGCAAAATCATGGAAAGTGTTGAGATAACACACAAAGAAAAGGTGTGTTGTTTGTATGTACATGATCTATATATTACTATGTCCAGTGCTATTGTCTTTACAAAGAAAAAGTGTGATTCTTTAGTTACCTGTTACTTTACAGGGTTCTTTTGCTGTCAAGAAGGCTGGGATCATTTTCCCATGGCTTGCCCGGTTTGCCCGAGAAGCCATGCCAGTTCCCCACTGAAACACCATGCCACCTTCTTCTCAGGGTGAGCATACAAAGGGAAATGAAAACACAGCAATCACTGACAAATTATTGTATTTTTGCTTGTTAACTAAATTTGAAAAGAGTGTTTGCTTAGCTTAATTTATATTGGTGTTAATTAAAAGAATACCTATGAAGAATACTACTTTCCACTTCTTATATAGCACTTTTCACCCCAAACACACTTTACTCACATTGAATCAGTCATGACAAGGCTTTCAAGAGGAAAGAGGTTATTAATCTCCTTTTATAAATGGGAAACCTGAACCAAAGGTGTGTGTTTTGCTCCAGATCCCTGAGAGTTACGCTGTGGTGTTGTTCAAGACTCTCGGTAAAGAGAATGTGTATTTGCACTGACTCAAGAGAGGCTATGGGACCACATTGTGATTCAAAGAATCACAATTAAGTCTCACAATTCAACCCCCAGTGAAGAAAAAAATTCTGCCGGCCCTTTACCTGGCACAGCTTACTACCTTCTCCATACCAACTCTGCTATACTGGCCAGCATTTTAGAAAACAGTCCAGGCTCCACAGACTCCCCACCTCTATACACCCTCTTTCACAGAAAGGGAAGTAACAAGCCCTGCTACCCTGTGACCCAGCCTCTTATGCTCAGTAATCCTCTGCTCAGACTCCTACAGCTGGTTATAATGTACCTCAGAGGGTGCAAGTATTATTACTATAATTGAAAATCATGGTCAGAGCCAAGTTTGTGGGTGCTTGATTCCTAGTTTTTGTTCGAACCACTAGGCTGCACACTACTTCCAATCTCTATCCTAATCCTTTTACCCCTCCACCAAATACCCAAATGTTTCAAACTCATATGTAGGTAACAAGAAAGCAATGTGCAGACTGTTGACTGCAGCAAAACCCTGCCAAATCCATTGAATGAGTGCGGAAGACTCCCCATCAAGCCTTGGAGAATTTTCAAAACAGACTTCAAGAAAAGGCCTTAAAATTCATATGAACTATGACCTTCCAAGATACAGCACAGTGATAGTAGGAGACCCAAAAAATCACTAAGGGTATGTCTACACTACCCCACTAGTTCGAACTAGCGGGGTAATGTAGGCATACCGCAATTGCAAATGAAGCCCGGGATTTGAATTTCCCGGGCTTCATTTGCATAAGCGGGGCGCCGCCATTTTTAAATCCCCGCTCGTTCGAACCCCGTGCCGCGCGGCTACACGCGGCACGA